ATAATCGCTTGAAAAATTAACTTGATATGCCTAGTAAAAGTAAATAAAAGCATTTTAAACAGCATTGAATCATCCTACCTGATCAAATTTAAAGCTTAACAAGCTGGATATGAAAGGTCTAAAATCTTAGCTACTGCAATAAAGATAATCTAACTAGCCAGAAGAAAGACTTGGAACTAAGCTTGGATATTGCTTAAACTCAACGATTAGAAGAAAAAAAATTTATTAAAAAATTCTGCTCGGACTTTTGTGGACTCATAAACAAAGACCAAGACATTTATATCCTCATAAAGAAATTCCTCAATTTTCCTCCCAATTTGAATTTTCAATAAAGTCACTCAAATTGTTATCATTGAATGAGATAGCTAGGACGCGCTTCAACATTCGGTCACATCAAAAATTTCCCAGAACTTGGATTCCGGTCCTTTGATAACACTAAAGAAAAACACATGCCTAATAAAAGTAACAATATGCCTAATAAAAGTAAATAAAAGCATTTTAAACAGCATTGAATCATCCTACCTGATCAAATTTAAAGCTTAACAAGCTGGATATGAAAAGGTCTGAAATCTGAGCTACTGCTATGAAGATAATCTAACTAGTCAGAAGAAAGAGTCGAAACTAAGCTTGGATATAGATTAAACTCAATGATTAGAAAAAAAATTTAGATTAAAAAATTCTGCTCGGAACTTTGTGGACTCATAAACAAAGACCAAGACATTTATATCCTCATAAAGAAATTCCTCAATTTTCCTTCCAATGAGAATTTTCAATAAAGTCACTCAAATTGTTATCATTGAATGAGATAGCTAGGACGCGCTTCAACATTCGGTCACATCAAAAATTTCCCAGAACTTGGATTCCGGTCCTTTGATAACACTAAAGAAAAACACATAATTCACAAAGCCGTCGTGAAAAAAACGAGAGAAAAAAAATACATATACAACAGATAAGATTTCAAGTACCATACTGAAATAGCTTCTTTGTTGGTCCTTATCGAGTTCAAGTCCTGCCTTGAATGGATTCGTCGTATTTTGTAGATTTTTTTTCTTCTTTCATTCATAAATATCAGCCCATTCAAGAAGTAGATTAAATGAAGGAAAGAAATATTGGATTAACTTCCAACCTTCTATTGGCAGTTGTAATAGTATTTGTGAAAAAATTTGTTTCCTCCTATTGGTTTTTAATATCTGATTTCAGATGGAATAAATATAATAAAGCATCGCTTTTTTTCGCTTGTTTTTTTTATTCGTCGTTTTTAACTGCACCCCGAGCTTTAAATAATGGCCAAAAATATATAATTTTTATAAAATTAAAATGTAAGAAATGCTTACCTTAAAAGAAAAGAAACTCATAAATGCAATAAAATGCTGTTTTTTCTGTTTTTTGAAAAAATGTAATCAATTAAATTTTAGTTATTACTTAAGAAATAATTAATTTTAATTTTTAAAATATTTTGCATATTGTAAGATATTTTTGTAGTGTACTTTTTGCATTTTGGTAATAAAATAAAATGCACTTGACTCAAATTATAAAATATTTATATGCCATAAAATTTTTTGAAAGGTTAATTATATCAAAATTTTTAAATTTCTGATGATTTTTCACTGATAATCTAAAAATCTGATAATCTTTTAAAATTTCTGATGTTTTTTCAATTAAAATCTTTAAAAAAAAAAGCGAGAGTTAATTTAATAACATTTTTACATTCGCTTTGTAAGGGCATAAAAGCAGAAAAAACAATTTTAAAATATAATTTTTTAAGTGGGATGAAATTCTCCAATTTATAAAGCGCTATGGTCTTCGCAAAACTAGTATATTTTTCGCAACCAGCGTTATGGCTGATTGCGCAAAGCTTCGGTTTCATAAAAATTATGAGTTAACAAAGGTTGTAATAAATAAAAATACTTTACAAATCCTTATTCTTTTATGATTTAAAACATTTTGTATGTACATATGTAACAAGACTGTACTGAAAATGTTTCTCTCAAGTCATTATTTCCATTCATAAAATTGACGAACTTAGTTCACAATATAATGCTCTCTTCATTATACACACTCGAACAAATTTTTAATAATAGAATTTTTTTTTATTTTTAAAAAATCAATCTATTTGTAAGAAAATGTATAAAATAATGGGTGTTTCTTCAGTATAAGATTACTGTAAAAAATTTCGGTTCAAATTACGGAAAAAAGTGCCGGCATTTTGGATGCATCATCTGTAAAATCCATTTAACCGTATTTCACCATAAAATATTATACTATACTTTTTAAAATAAAATTTATTTAATTAGAGTTATTCAGTGATTTTTTCGGTAATTATAACAGTAAAAGTTACAGTATATCAGATTTTTGTTCCATAACATGTTCAGGTAAAAGTGAATTTTACTGTAAAAAGTGCCGGCAACCTGAGTTCTGGTACTTTTTACAATAGTTTGATCTAGAATTTCTCACGATGTACGAAACGGTATATTTTTTTCTATTTTTCAGAAATATAGTTGATCAAGCTAAACGGCATTGATAATGGAATATTCCGCTTATAATAAAATTTAGTGGGACCAAATTATTTTTTTCTGGTAAAGATCTGCATCTAAACAATTATTTTTAGTAATGTTAACAGAGACAAGAATAGCGTATCTTTTATAACTGAAGGAGTCGCTTTTTTACCTGTTTTACCCAATAACATAAAATATAAATATTGCTGTAGAAGCTTGATCGTTGTGGGTACCTAATTTGACGATTAAATCAACCATAGTCCCCCCACCACTGCACCAGACGAATGGTTAGGGGAGGGAGACATACAGAAACCCATTTCCGCTAACAATTAATAAGGTATTTAATTCATCAGCATGAATACATTCTATTCTAATCGAGAGAAAAAGTCGGGAAATACTCAAGTAAATGTACAACAAAGAAAAAAATTTATGAAACTTAACACATTTGCAATGCTATATTTGATTCTAATTTATTTACTTCAATATTTTCTAACTTTATAAATCAAATAAAAAATATAAAACAGCTTGAATATTTGGTCCTCGAAAAAAAGGAGTATACTATATGAAAATTTCGCGACATTAATTTTATTTATGTCAACAATAAAACTTAGTATTAAAAAGCGCTTGAATTAAAAAATAATTCATAAAATGTTATATATAAGCATGCACCACAATGTATTATATAAAACTATTCAAAGTGCTGAAATATGCATGAATTATTTGTTTAATCCAACAATAAAGGAAGACTATCGATAAATGCACAGATCAATTAAATTAATACTTTCCAGTTGAATAATTAAATTAATTATAAAAAAATATTATAGAAACGTGACATTCAAAATTCCCAACATTTAATACGTTGCAAATTCATTGACAAATTATATAATTGATTCATAATCATAATAAAATTATGACTCATAACCATATTTGCAATGTTAATCGTAAGTGGTAATTTATATGACGCAAGGTTGTGATATTTAGATCAGAGGAGTAATTTCACCGGTATGATGTAATTTCTCCACGAGTTTGAGGTGAAAGGATTAAACGAGAAAAAAGAGGTAGAGGTTAATGTGACGAAAGAGTTGATACTTGAGTGTTGCCAGATATATGAACTTGTTAAAACATGTTCAATGACGACTTTTTCCTGGTTTATTTTGTTTTATCTTATAATTCCTGCGCATAGCAAATATTTCGGTAGTCAAATACTAAATAATCAAATATCTTCTGAATAGAATTTTCAAAGCTCGATATTACGCTCAATCCAATTGATCGAAATTATATTTTCAGTAAACAATTAATAATTGTTTTTTATTATTAAATTATTTAAAACTTAATTTATAAGCTATATATTTTCCCTTAACAGCAAAATATATACATATATTCTTATTAATACAGTTTTTAATAGATAACAATATCAATAATTTTTCTTGATTATGAAAAAACAACAACAGATGATTCGAATTCAAAATAACATAGAAATTTAGCTATAATAAGTATTTTCTAAAGTCTTTTGATTCGATTTAAATTGATTTCTTAAATTAGACATTCCATCATAACATATATTTATATATATTTATTCATAAATTTATTATATTATGAATGTAATGATACTCTTCATTTTCCATCGCTGTTGCTGATTAGAAGAAAAAAAATTCTAATTGAGCAACTCAATTCAATTTTAAAATAAAGTAAACTAAAAAATATTTAAAAATGAAATAATGCTAGAGATTTTACACTTTTTGATAATTATTTTGCGATTTCTATACCAGTGAAATTTCTAGCCTTTACTTTAGTAATTAATTTTAACATGGAGTGATTAAAACCAATGAATTACAGAGATAAGGTAAAGGAAGCAACGTCCCCAAACATCCATCTGATCACAAAAACATTAAATCCAATATAATTATTTTTATAAAACAATTGAATTCTTAAAAAGAAATATTTACTAAATGATTGGTTAAAGAAAAATATAATACAGAGAAAACAATGATTTTAAAATTAATTTAATATGAAATTAATTTAATATGAAAATACTTACATATTCTGAGAAAAATTAAAGTATATTTTGTTGGAAATAATAAATTTTTTACAATAGAATTTCCATACACATTTACCAAAGATGAGTTATAAATATAGATTTAGGAATTTTATAAATATATTTATTTCCAATGCAATTTTTAAAAAAAATTTAAACTAACTCGATTTTCTTTATGCCTCTTCAATTTTTTTCAAATCGAAGGGTAAACCCGAGAAACCACACTTTTCTAAACACCTCTGCGGAAAAAATTTTATTTCTTTTAAATAAAAACCAAAACTTAGTTAATTTTAGACAATGTATCGCAAGGAACAGTCCCAATTTGTATTCACTCTCATAGTATGATTCCCATTTGTGCTAGTGACTGATATAGGTGAATAAGCATTTTAATATGCATGGATAGTGATATTTACAATTTCTAGGAAACTATAATAAACAAATTAACTATAAAACGATGAAAAGAAACTTACCCATTGAAAAGGAAGAAAAAATTGCCACAAAAACAAATGGTATGTGCAGCATGTTTCTTAAAGTCATATTGCTCTATCACTCGATAAATTTGATCGATATATATATATTTTTCGTGAAAAATATCCTTTTTTCGGAGATAGACAAAATAATTTAATACTATACGCAATTAAAATATATTTCTTTTCGCCGCAAGTGTTACAATAAAAATAAATTCAAATAGAGTTTCGAACAAACACAATATAAATATTTATGAAATTTGATCGTCTGCGGCTGAGAGTAAAATCACATATGCGACGCAGACGATAATCCACGTGGTTGTGATTCCAGAGCCGGCATCTCAAAACTTGTTTTCTTGCTATCTCCTCCTCTTTTCCAAAGCATCCATTGGCAGTGAGTTGAACATCTGGTAGCCATGGTGATGAGAAAGATGAGGTACAGCCCATAGGTCAACAATAAATAATTAACTGAAACAATGAAGTGATAAAGACTTATTGAAAATATAAATATTGTTAAATGTTACATAATTTGAAACTGTTCGCGTGTATCTAATAAAAATTGTGTCTTGAAGACTTATTTTATCGTTTTAACTCAGAAAAAAGAATTTAACTCCTTGTTTTTAACTCCTTTTAATTTTTTATTTATTTATTTTTTAAAATTCCATCCTATGTCTTATTATCTTTTTTTTTTTTTAAGACAAGGAGAGGAAAAGCTTCTACTCGAAGACTTTATTAATCTATATTTCTTTTCTTTGTCTAAGTAATTTCTATCACAACGTAAATTATTAAATAGATTAACAAATATTTTTTTGGAAGTAGTAAAATACAAGCTTGCCGAATTTTTTTACTTTATTCCGAAGATGAGTAAAAACTATATTTAATATTTATGAAATATTTTGAATTGAAAGGGATAATCCGTTCCTGGTTCAGAAATTTATAGTAATACAAAATCTTCAATCATTATGCCATTTAATGCAACAGAGGATTTTTTGTCTATGTATTTTTCACTAATTTTAACATATTTGTTATGCTAGTTACAAATTTGAAAGTCTTTCTTATCTATCAGCTACATTTTTAAAAATACAACGTAGCTATGTCTAGAAATAAGCACCTTTACAAATATGTTTTAATAAGTAACTTTTTCTACAAAGTAAAGTATTCTTTTAAACAGAGGATATGCTATATTCTATAAGTATATAGTTGAATGTAGTAATTTAATATTTGTAATATTCATTTTAATTTCCGTATTATGAATGAGGAATCAGCGAGCTTTGTATATGACATGCCCCTTTGAAGAATATATTTTCTTATTTTTTTTTCTAAAACTGCTGGATTATTTGTTCCATAAAGAAAAAAAAATTGTGTAAATAACTCTTAGTAAAGTTTCTTAAATTGTTAAAAACATTAATAAAAAGTTCGATCTCTTTCCTTCTGCCCTTGAAAGTGTATACTTGCAATTGCAAAGCGGGAATATGATTTCTGGTAAATGTGGTATTAATATTTACTATTTTTGTTGTAATAAGGGCAATAATAAATTATTTTTCGTGTATACTCATGTTCTCTCCATTTATCGGAATTTTATTTTGACTGTTCTAATATATTAGGTTTAAAATGAGAAATTCCATTCCTTGAATAATATATCAGCAGTTTTTAAAATTTTAATTCAGTGCCTTAAAAATGAAATAAGAAAATAAAAAAAATATTTAAATTTATCCCATCGAGCAAAACGTATGTGCAGTCAAAGCCTGTCATTAGATTGCACTGTAGGCCAGAAGACCATGAACTTTGGCCAAAAGTCAAAAATTAAATTTTCAACTAAAATATGCATAGACAGTTTTAATATAGCCCAAATTAAGTATTCATAATCATTCTAAACATTATAATTTACTTTTTGAACCGACGAGAGAACAATGTAATGAAAAATATGCTAATTTTTTTTTTTTTTTAGATGTAACTTTTAACTTTTTATTTCAGAAATATATATAGGAATTTCACCTTACTGTTACATTTTTATCAGAGTAATTAGTCTGAAATTATAGTAAAATTTTTCAATTTGTTGGATTAGTTATTAATCTTGACAAACTTATAATTTATATTTTATAATTTGACATTTTACAATGTTTGAATGACTTTCGAAACTTAGTTCCAAAAAGTTCCACGAGGTAATTAGCTAAACTTTTTTTTTGTTGTCTTCTTTGATGTTTATTCTTTCGAAAAAACTCGCCCATTTTACCCGTATTGCAAAGGTGGACTAAATACAGTCAAACCTCGATATCTCGAACTTGAAGGGAGAGGAGAAAAAATTCGAGACATCGAAAATTCGAATTATCGAAAATCGCATGTTATCGATGGTCGAATAAAGAAAAATGCTCTTTACACACCTTATTTACTATTTCATATTTATTCTAAAAACACTTTTTACACCTTTTACACTTTTCAATTGTTGTTTGCTTTAGAGATGTGTAAGTAAGTTTGTCTATAACACTTTCTAAGTGGACTATAACTTTAAATATCTCCTCTGACATATTCGGCTGCCTCTCAATAAATCTCCTTACAGTGTTCACTGCAGAAAGTGCTTGTTTGTTAGTAACATTGAGCGGTAAATCTTCGATTTCCTCATCCTCTTCTTCTGATAGTTCACAAGGAACTTTCGTTTCAGCGATGATATCATTGTAATCCCACTGACTGCATCACTGTTACTGCATCATCTACGTTTACAAAGTCATGAAATTCCATGTCATCAAGCTTCATAAGACCGGTCAATCTGCTCCAATCATTTTCGGTGTAGTTTTCAGCAGAATTAACGATATTGATTGTATCACTACTTTTGTGATCTTTAATGAATCCAGACTTCTTGAAGCCATTCATTACCGTAAAGGAAGACACATCATTCCATGCCTTGTCAGCCATTCTTAAATTTTTTATTTTTTTGGAATATTTTTTCAATTTTAGAAAAAAAAATCTACACTATTTATGGAGAAAAAAAATTCAAGTTATAGAGGGATTAGAAAAAAAAAATTCGTGGAATCAAGTTTTTTTTAACATTGAGTGTATAGGAAATTTGTAGGGAATTTCTCTTTCTTTGAGATATCGAAAAATTCGTGAAATCGAGGTTCGAGTTAGCGAGGTTCGACTGTATACCGAAAAACAAAAATTATGTTTTTTCTTCATGTTTTCGCGTTATTTTGTAATATTACTTCGGAAATATAATTTACTTTTCATTTTTAATATAAAATTACGAAAATTATTATATTTTCCTTGCAATATTTAATTATTTAAACGTACTATGTTATTATTTTTATTTTTGCTCGCCATATTTCCGTCGCCATTGTGCTTTTTTGGGAATTTTTAGCGTGTTTCAAAATTTCAACTATGAATTCAATTTACGTGTACATAAAACCCCCCAAATTTTGAAACAAATTTTATGGAAATACTAATTTTGGCCACGAAACCTTGGATACTGGCCCACTGTGGATTGTGAAGCTGGCTATGATTGTCAAAACTAAAAAATAAGATGTGGAAGCGTCCCGAGGTATAACACTCAATCTTCATGTATTTTTAAAAATTCATTGTTAAACACATAACTTTTAACAGGTACTTTTTTCATCATAACAGGCCGTGAAGCCTTGGATACTGGCCCACTGTGGATTGTGAAGCTGACTATGATTGTTAAAACTGAAAAATAAGATGTGGAAGCGTCCCGAGGTATAACACTCAATCCTTATGTATTTATAAAAATTCATTGTTAAGCACATGACTTTTAACAGGTACTTTTTTCATTATTTGAAACAAGTACATCCAATAAAATTAAAAATAAGTTATACTTACAAAATGCTAATTTGTTATTTCTAAGCTAGAAAAAATCATATCAAGAAGATGTTGCCGAGATAGAATTGAGATTTGCATAAAAGATAAAAGTGCGGGAACATTTTATTACCCGATTTAAACAATCTTTTAAAAACATGTACTACAATCCTGATATATTTCTAATTCCCATAAAAAAATATTATTTCGTTAATAGTTTTTGATAAATTAAATAATTAATCTTGTTACTTAGCATTTTTCGTTAAACACACCACCAACTCGTTAACAAATAATTTTTAAAAAAATATTTTTTACTTATCTGAATCGAAACTATATCAATAACCTGCACTAAATATCTTAATAAATTACATGAAAATTGAAGACGTTATCGGCACTACCTTTGGCGAGTGTTTTTAGCAGAAGTTATGCCATACACACGTTATACTTTCATTATCAATTTTAAATGTAGTTCAGAATATATATTATAAAATAAGAATGATTATAGAGAAACTTCTCGGAAGTGGCCACTCTCTGTTCAACAGTAAAATTGGAGTGAATGGAGGTTGGTCATTCTTAAAGGTTACCCAAATTGACTTCAAAATGTTATCGAATTGATTTTTCGCCAGAGATTTTAATTTTATCCTGTGTCATTTTCTTTATGCGTAAATGCCACTTGTGTTGGCGTTATGAAAACCGGATCGATGAATAAAATTTAGCGTCAATTAAAATGATCCCTATTGATGTAATTATGTATAAAAATAAATTTACCAATTATGAATGATAGAACCATTTTAAATAAATAATTAATTGCGTTTTTTGTTTAAGGTTGTAATTAATTTTATACCATACGGATTAGTTAGCTTTAAAAAATGAGAAGAGGTTTGTTTGAGATTCTTAGCTTTTCATAAAATAAGTTTTTTTATTTTTTTTTTTTTTAAATTTAACTTTTAGCTCTAAAAATTAATCATTGATAACATCGTCTTTAGTGCATTGACGGTTGCATGAGTTTGGAGATATCTTTCAGGGATAGTCACAAAAAGAGCTCTCTAAATTAGAGCTATACTCACAAAGATTTTGAATACATTTAAATCAACTAATTTTGTTAATATTTTTTTCGTGTTTCCTTAAACCTTTTCCGCATTTGATGCGGGGGTCCACTCAGTTGCTGGGAGATATTTTGATGGTCTCTCTTAAAGATTTCCTTCAACATAAAATCAGTGGAAAAAATTTCGTTCCTCCCAAAAATTGGTCGTAAATAGAGGAGGTCGCTACACAGAGGTGATTTTCCTTGGAGGTTTCACTGCATATGTTTAGTTTATAATCAGATTAAGTTTATACAAAAGTATAAAAAAGAGACATCTATGGCAATTTGAAGTTGCCTTGTTAACTGAAATATGATATTTGATTATTTTGATATGCTGATGTACTGTAGTGATGAAGTAAGAAGATGCAAATTGATTTTGTCGTAAGAAGAAGCTAATCATTAATGTTGGTGGGGTTAAAGCAATGTTGATCTTCCACAGAGATGATGAAGTCTGTGATGAT